GCAACCGCACGCGGGCGCCGCGGGGCGGCGGGCGGTACAGCGCGGACGCGGCGCTGTGGGTAGGTACCGGCTCCCCCGTGCCCCCCCGGCCCGGGCACCAGCGGGCAGAGGGGGGACCCCGGGGCACGTCCCAATGGCCGGGGCTTCCCCCGGGCTCTCTGCGGGGAGGAGCGGGCGCTGCGGGCAGATGTGGGGGTGCTGCGCTGTTGGCCACCTCTGCGGGAGGGGGTGGTATCTTTTATTGGGCCACCTTCGGGGTTGGGTTGGACCCGCCCTTTCAAAGCTTGGGTAAGGCCTCTGCCATCCATCAGGCACTTCACTTTGGGGGCTGGACCCCATGGGCAACGGGGCCCCCCTGGGGGGGGGGGGCACATTCGTTCCCAGCAACCAGTCGGCCACCGGGGGAGGGGGAGTCCCCACGGCCACTCACACCAACCAGGCAGAGGGGTCCCCCTGCAGCAAAACATACTGCGGCCGCAGTAGCGCCACATCTGGCACTCCCACTCCCCGGCCGCTGGTGGGGGGGCACTGGTGCTCCTGCCTGCCTCCCCTCTGCCCATCGCCTAAGCGGGGCACCCCCATGCACCTCCTGTGTGTCACCAGTGCTGGACCTGATGATCTTGCAAGGTCCCTTCCAGCCCTAATGTAGATGAATTGCACCCTTTGCTTAGGGCCTTGGCATACGTTTGGTGGTGAGCCGCACAAATGCTGATGGGTGTCAGTGCTAGCTTGGGGTTTGGAGGAGTCGCACCCTTAGGGAGTTTATACATGTGCTCCAGGAGTTGGGGTAGGGGCTTTAATTAAAGCAACTTGTCTAATGACAGTGTCCCGAGCGTCTTGTTTATGAGCCTCCCCACGCTTCAAAGTGGCAGCGGGGGCATTGTAAAAAGTAATCGGGACTCATGGTAGCAGTGATATATTTTCTTAGACCAACTAGATTTTTGCAAAAAGAAAAACCACCCTAAACTAAAGCTTGGCTGATGAGCTTTAGTTAAAGCGCTCCATTTTTATACAGGAGAACTGGAGTGCAGGAACTACCACACTCCAGCAGACTTGATTAACTGAGGCTGCTGTGGCATGCTGTAGTTACAGCCCTTGCTGCTCATGTATAGGTACGTCCTTAGTGTAGAAATCTTCTCTACCGCACTCCCCACCCCCAGCTGTGACTTGCTGCCAGAGGCCTGGAGAGCAGGAGCTGTCTCTGGGAGTTGCTCCTAGAGGGCTGGTGAGCCAGGACAGGCTTCTATCCCTGCTTTGCTGGTGAGGGTGTGGGAGATTTGGGATACTGGAGGACTTCAATATGGGTAGCACATAGTAGAGAATGGCTATACCTTAATTGAACAGGAGCTAGGGAGTACAGATGGGAGATTATCCTGCTTTGGAGTGGTATATCTTTCAGTTGCATAAGGGGTGCTTAAAAGCACTTTAAGGTGTTAATATGCAAATAATCCAGGGGTTAAGAGCTCTAGGAGCCACCCAGATTTACTGTGTAACAAGGCCCAAAGCAAAACCAGCCCTGGGTGCAAAGTAGTAATCCTGCAACTGACTGGTTAATCACGCAATAAAATTTAGACTGGCCTCTGGTGCAAAGTTATGATCACATGATTAAAAAATGAGGAGCCAGCTATCAAAAAGCCAGCCGACTAGGAAGTTAGTGCTTCAAAATGTGGAACAGCTCTAATAGTGGCTTCTCTCCAGCTTTAATCTGAATGTATGGCAGGGTCCAAAGTTTAACCCAGTTGGCCCAGGAAAAGATATCACCCACTGACAACCCATGCCTCTGGCACAAATTTCTGGATCACCATGGCTGCAACATGACTCCAGCACTGATCACTTCTCTTACTTACATCATGCTTCCCCTGTATCTTACCCACCTGTCCTTGCTTTGCCCCTCAGCCTCCCTGCCTGTCATTCCCCCATTTTACAGCTGATGAAGTGGAATCCGGTGCAGGAAAGCTTATGCTCTGTGGCCCCTCCTACACATTACATATATTATACAATTGACTGGTTAATTATGCAGTTAATGTAGGCAGGCCGAGCATGCAAAGTAATTTGCATAAGAATGTCCATCCAGCTATAAAAAGAGCTAGCTGGCTACAAAGCTATTGCTTGAAAATGTATAATAACTTTATAGTTGGTTTCTATCCAGCCTTAATTTGAATGTGTGGCAGGACCCTTAATGTATCTTAGTTTATAAAGGTGCAAGTAGATGTCTCCAGGAAGGGGGAATGAAGTTGCTGCATAGGTATCCTGCCTTCTGACTGACTTCAAGCTAATACATCTAACTACCTTTCACTACTCACTGCCAAGACTGCAAGGTGGTGTTGGACATGCAGAAACTGCACTTCATCAGCTCTACTCAACAGTTTTGCCATTTTCCCTAGTCTGATTCCCCAAACTTGCTCTGTCTTATCCCTGTGCTGAAACACTCTTTCACATGTCCCGGTGTTGAGGGTCAACCCTTGCCTTTCATAAAATAGGCCTTCTTTACTCCTCCTATTATGAGCATCTGCATACCTTAGATTGCAGAGGTGGAAGGAAGGAAGCATAAGGCAGTGTGGGGTGTAGATGGCAGAGGAGAAAGGACTAACATGATCCATGGTGAAATGGAGTAGAATCTAGCTTGGGGACATAGAAAGGGTTTTTTTCTGATATAGAAGAATAAATGGAAGTTTTGTTTTCTTTAAAATTTCTCTTTCTCCCCATCATCACTGATTTGTACCTTGTGTAGTCATGCAGTATAAAGTGTCAGCAGATCAGAATCAGCTTATCTGTGAATGTAAATTGATTGAATGGTATAACCAGCTGTGGAGAATCAAAGCCATTATGCTATGTCCACCCTATTTTCTCCCTCAAGATCCCTATGAACAAATGGGTTTTCAGTTGGATTTTAGCCTTGCAATAGGCATGAGAGAGCAGTTCAGAAAAAAAAGGATGTTTAGTTAAGAACACTGTATTCTTGGGGCCTCATTCAGCATAATGCTAGTCAGATTTTACATCGTAATTCTATTGACATTTTACAGAATCAAAAGTCCTTTCTTAACTAAGTTCTGAACATAAGGGGGTAGGCATATATAGCCATGATTTTCCTGAACCACTGAACCTTAACTTTGAATTGTACTTTTCATTTCTAGCACAAGGTGTCAGCCTTGAATTTAAAAAAAAAACAGATTTTACCCAGCAATAACTTGACCCTGCTGTCTATAGGAGATGGTGGTGTTACAGTGGCTTGTATAGTCTCTTGCAGTTTTGAGGTAGAGCAGACTTATCTTGTAAGGCTGTGGGAATGGGTTGTATGCAGTTGAATACTCTGATCCCATCTCATTGTCTTGACATTCCTGACTCAGAGTTCTGCTGTGTTCAGATAACAGTGCTATTATTTCTTTAGTAATGCTAAAAATGTTATATGTTTACTCAAATACTTTTCATTCCAAGGTACCTTACAAAACTAGTGTTTAACACCAAACAAACAAATCAGCAATCAGGGAAAAACATGAAGACAACTAAGCAGGGAGGGAAATTAAACAGCATTGCAACAGAAGCATCACATGCCCCCTAACAGCAGCCCTTATTACACCCCACCTTCCTTAAACTGTGGCTACAAGTTGGATTTTCCAGCACAACTTGAACATGAAGAGATGTGGGCTGCTTTGGAATTTAGACCCCACTGGTCCAAAGACAAAGGCCGTCTTGGCCCTATCTGTTCTATACCAAGAGCACCCCAGTTCAGGTAGCTCTTTGAACCAGGTTTGTGGTATGGGAACAAAGAAGCAGTCATTACGAGATGTTTTTGTTTGCTTTGCACTGGTAAGCAGCAGCAAGAAGAATTCTTGTTCTTATGGAAAGCCATGCTATGGAGACAGAATTTCAACTTTCTAATGTTCAATCCTAAAACTTCTAAGTCTAAAACCAGTTGAAAACAAATCATAATGTGTTACTAAATTGTATAGTTTAAGGCAACAGTTCCCAATCTGTAATGCACATATCACGAGTGATATGCAGACAGCCTGTCAGTGGTACGTGTTAATAGATTTATTATAATTACTTTATATGACAAAAATTTGGTGGTGGTACCTAACGTTGTATCATTTTAAACTGATGGTGTGCAATCTGTTAGAGTTTGGGAACTGCTGGTTTAAGGAGATGCTTTTAAATATTTCATGTATCTGGATAACGTAGGCCCATAATTTTAGAAGTATTTAAGCACCTAATTACTATTAAAAACTGGTCCTTAATTCTTTGTAAAATATCCATAACAGTTAGAGCCATGGACAGCTGGGCACAGGCAAGAAAGGCATGCTGGTTTTAGGATGGAGGATATAAATGTATAAAAATTACATTTCACTTGCACTTATTTAATGGCATAGGTGGTCCACAGCCTTTTAAAACAATTTTGAAATATCATATAGAGTTGAGCAATAATCACTGGATCAGTCAGCATAAGTACTTTTCCTAATATTTTATGGTGCAAAATCACTGCTTAATATTATTTGAATACATTTACAAAATATTGCTCATTTTGACTTCTAAGCTGTTTCAACTTGTGTCAGTTATCTGAATGTTAGATTAACTTTAAAAATAGAAAACATATGTCAAAACAATTTGATATTCTTTCAGATAATGAATTGAGTCAGCAGTCTGGAAGCTTGCAAGTTGTAGAGAGCATGTCCTAGAGATAACATTTATCATCAGATAAAGCTGTTCTGTTTCAATTTTCAGACTACTTCCTCCTTCGTGAGCCATGTCCCATAACATCCTCTATGCACTGTTTAACCTCAAAGCATGCAATTCCAAAGACCACCAGGAACTTTGAGAGCCAGAGCTGAGGAACCTTGATCTAACTAAGTAACTACCTGCTGGCAGTTCTCTATCGTTGTGTCTTTATGAAGGTTCACCTGCCCCTACAGAGGACACAGTTTGTCCTGCTTTTACACAGAGTTCCATACAAATACATTCACTACTTCTTCCCATACCAAAACAGCTTCGTGTGTTGCTCTAGTTCAATCCTGGGGTATTCTTAAATCTATTCACACTGAATGTTCTACTGCAGGTACTCCAAAAATGTATTATTAGTCTTGCTTCCAAGAATAAAACTATTATTTTTACTTTAAGAAATAACCATTTTTCTAAAGACCTATTTCTTGTGCAAGTTCACAATAAAAACATAAAGAAAAATGCTAGTTTGAAAAAGTTATTTAACATGAGCCTTTCCACTGGTTCTCCAACTGTATTGCTGCTGTTTGTTTTCTAGCTGAAAAACTCTTCAGACCCAGGATTGTATTGATAGTGGTGTCTTTTACATCACTGAGTTTACTTTAAAGTTCAACTAACAATAAACCACAAAAGGAGATAATCAGGATTGAAAAGTCTACCTGACAATGGTGTGGGAAATCAAAAGTTTTCCCACTTAAGGGTCAACACAGACTCTAGTATCTAGGCTAGCAAGGGGTGGGGGAAAAGAGAACGAACAGATTGACTTTTATTAGTAAATGTTTAGGATTGGGAATCCAGAAAAAAGATGACAAAGCTGATAGGGAAATACAAATCGCCTGAGCGAGGGACTAACAATAGAGGGATGGGGGTGAAGAGGGGAACACAACTAGGGTACAGGAGATACAATGTTGGCCAACTAAGCCTGGGGGTGAGGGATGGGGGGAAGGGGAGGGAGGGGGTTCGCGATGCTGAGAGAGAAAGGAGATAGATACACACAAACCCGTTACAATGGTCCGCAATGGTGGAGGGAGTGGTTCGAAGGAAGTGCCTCAGTCCATATAGAGTCTCATCACGAGGATCCTCTTCGGGTGGACCGGGGTCATCCATGGTCGAAGAATCCTCTTGGAGTGAAGTGAAGGGGGGGCACTTCATTCGGTCCCCTCCGGGTCTGGTCCAGCGGCGGCTCATCTGGTGGGGTCAGAGTACTGGAGCTGGCCCGTAATGTGTTCCACATAGATATCGCGGGACCAATGGATGGTGTTGGACACCATGAGGCAGCGCATCAGCTTGGCGTAGCGGTGGGAGACGCAGCAGGTACACAGGACGCTCTCGTTGCTGGGGGCCCAGGCTCTGAGCGTTCCCACAATGAGCGCATCGACCGTCACATCGTAGCTGCGGCCCCTCAGGGTATCGGCCAGTGGGGCGTACTTCTCCCGTTTGCGAGCCTGAATGTTGGTGAAGGCTTGGCGCCATTTCTCGAAGGGGATGGTGATGTCCACGATCACAACCTTCTTGGCCTCTTCGTCAGTGATGACGATGTCGGGTTGCGTCTGGCTCTCTCTTTGGTACATACCAAATCAATAGAAGAAAGTGTGTACTGTATTCTAGAGAGTTAAATAAACATGAAGGGACTCCAAGATGACAAAAGAAGCCATAATAAAAATCAAGATAGAGCAAATTTTACAAGCTGCAGCAAAAGATGGATGCATCATTTCAATAAATAGAAACTAGTAACTTGTATTTTTCTTTTCTTTTTCAGGAAAGTGTTAAACGATTTACCCACTTGAATTCATTATCATCAAATGACAACACCACTGCTTTCTATGGATTCAATCAATTTTCTCATTTGTTCCCTGAAGAGTTTAAAGGTACAGAATTTGAGTCATGCCAGTCTTCTTCCTATTACTTTGCTCTGTGATTCTGCAGCTGCTGCATGCACATGCTCCTTTCTGTCATGGTTAAAAGTTACTATGTTATTATCAAACAGCTGCCTATGTTTGGTAATAATTCATTCTACTTGCCAGGTGTCTTACCATGTATTACCCATGAACGGTGTGTTACCTTGGTAGGTGCAGACACAAGTACATCAGATGTTTATTCTTTGTGTCCCCAGATCTCTCTCTCCCAGACTCAGATCAGGCTCCCTTTAAATTCTCTCATCTATTTTTTTTCCCAGCCATTTTAAACCCGAACAAAAGAGCTGTATACAATTTCTGAGAAGGCAATACTCTCAGACTTGTTTGTCTACCAAGGAATCTGCAATTTTACATAAACCCCTATTGTTTCCAGGCACCCAAAGATACACATAACACTTATGATGCTAATATACCAATTTTGTTTAATGTACCGATCTTGTTGGATATTCAGTGTGTGCATAGCTTCTGATGCACCTCAGTACAACAGTCTTTCAAGTTTCCATGTTTCTGAGGTCTTGCATTTCTCACAGATATAATATATACTATGACATTACCTGAAAACTGTAAATTTGGCAGCTCACTTCCAGTGACTTCTCACCACATCCTATCACAAACTCTTCTCTTGTCTTTAAGCAGTAGGATATTAGTGGCAGCTGAGTGGAACACAAGCCCAAGGTGCTGACATAAAGGGGGTCCTAGAACAGAGGCCCCCTTCTATTCTGCCAAATTTACCAATTTCCATAGTAAACAGTGACACCTGGGGAAGAGGCGGGGGGGCAGGGCTGGGTGTAGTGGGGAGCAGGAATTGCTTGGATCCAGTGGGACGTCTGGAAACTTGTGGGGTTATACTGAGCACAGGGTTCAATAGACAGGCACATGTTAATTAGAAGAACTAAAAATCAAGTTTTATTTGTAGAGTAGTAAACAAGCTTCTGCAGTTCTTTAATCTTTAATTAACTGACTTGAGGGACTGTCTCCTAACCCCCAACCTCTGTAGTCTTCCAAGTAAAGGAGTATCTTCAAATTACAACATCAGTTATTGAAGGGGTCGCATCCTGTTAGCCCCAGTTTCCTAATCAGCCTTAAGTCTCCTATGAGAGATGCCGGTACTGAAGGGGGAGGTGTCAGCATGGCCAGCAACCAGACAGTTAATACCTCCCCTACTGCAGCCCCTGCCTTGGTCACATTGGAGCAACTGTGGCAACTGCAGTTGTCGGTGTGAGAGAGTCCTAACACCTGGCAGTTGCTGTGTTAATCCCCTGACACCTCTCTGGACAACAGTGATGTCTCCCACAAGTTTAGGGGTGTGAAGCTAACTAGGAAAGCAGGCTACTAGCATGCAGCCCAATGCTGCCCAGGGCTTCAACCCTTATCAGTTATGCTTCTCCCACAAGTTAGAATTATTCTTTTCTACTCAACTACTTACGCTGTTGCATTCTAGGCAGACCAAATCATCACTGGTTTTATAACCCATGATTAATGTAAGCCAAACTGTAATTCGGTCTAATATTTTGCTTCCAGATTGTTTTCACTTAAATTTACCCAAGTCCCACCACAATTGACAGTTTTATTGTTATCTGATCATACTTCATCCCCTTTACATTTCAAGAAGATATATGGATAATCTTAATAGATTTTTTAGTTCAGAGAGTAATATTAATGGCATTGGATTACTCCCCCACCCCTACATTTTAAACTGTCCTGATGTTACCTGCCAGTTTCCTAATGATTTAGAGTAGGGCTGTCCAGCTGACAGCCCATAAATGGCTCCTACCACCTTTGCTGCCTCCAACTCTACATTTATCCCCACAGGTCCAGATACTGGTCTCCCTGGCCACTGCTGCTTCCCTCCATTGCCTAGTCCTGCTGCTGTCACTACTTCCCCACCAAAGCCACCATGGTCTCTGGGCTCTCACTCCTTTCTCCAGTTTCTACTTTTTGCTGCCACCATGGAGGGGTGGGGGAGGAGGGAAGAGCCAACAAAGTTCGTGGCCACTCAGAAGTTGGACAGATCTGATTTTTACAGTACACAACAACGACCAATAAAAATACCACCCAGTAGGGCTGTACGAAATTTCGCTGGCTGTTTCATTTTGACGATGTTTCGACTTGTTTCAAGCTCAAAACAGCAAAATCAAAATGAAATGAAAGGCTTTGAAACAACCTTGAAACAAAACGAGGGCAGTCGAAATGTTTTGAGTTTCGAAGCTGAAGCTGGACTTGTACCTGCTGGGAAACAGAAAGTAAGGAGAGGGAGGGGGAAGAGGGGTGAAGGGGTGCTCTCGTATTGACTGTGTAGCTGGCCAGAGACTGTCATCCTTTCGTGAGGTCCCTTCTAATCCCAGTGCTCTTGGGGAGGGATGGAAAAACAGCATAAAAGGAAGCATTGTTTGAACCGGCCTGTTTTCTGCCTTGGTGTCTGACAATTACTGAGCTCTCTTCCAGCAGCTCAGGCGCATTAGACAATGAAGGCTACTACTAGCATTGATCTGAATGATTTCCTACTTGCAAGCCTAGCCTAACAAGAGGGATTTCAGAATACTTTTTTCCTTTCTTCTAGACACCTTTATTTTATTATTATGTTCATTGATTTATTCTTTTCAATTGTATAATTATATTGGATGTTACACTATAGAATTTAATTTATATAAGAAGGGAGATACATTTATATTTTATTTCTATACAGTTATATCTTGTGGCATAGAGAATACACCTTAGGGAATTTATATAGGAACGCAGATACATTTATATGTTTGTATAAAAGCAAGGCACTATGAAACACACCATGAAGCGTGGTGGAAAGGCATCTGGCAAGCCTTCATGGAGGGGCAGAAGAGGGGGTAGAGAGAGGTGTATAAAGTTCCCCTCAAAACTGAGATGCAGCCTCTTCCCTACAACTAGCAGTGATGAGGCTTCCACAAGCAGAAAGGAGAGGGGAGCAGTTCCAGTACCACTGCCTGTGCCCGAGACTGCATCCCCTCCAAGAGCACCAGCCATAACCACCACCACCACCATGACAACAAGCAGCAGCACCAGCATGACAGTCTCCTCCACCCCCATTTCACTTCCCATGCTGAGCCTTCCAGTGCCAGAGGAAGAGCTGGAGCTGGATCTGAGTGCCCTAGCAAGGGAAATTCTGGGGAAGGAGGGGAAATCATCTGAGTTTGTGCTCCACACCCCTCAAGTTTCCCCTAGAGCCAGGTCTTCCCTAGAAGACACTTCAGAAGAGGCTGAGGTAGAGGTTATGGAGGCAAGCAGCTCAGCTGAGTCTGTTCCTGTTGTTGTGCCTCTGCCTGCTGAGGGGAGGGAAAGTGCAGCATCCACACATGCACCCATACCCCAAACACAAGCAGGTAGTGTGTCTGGGATCATTTTGAGCTGGCAGATGATTCCACATATGCTACCAGCCTGCACTGCTGAGCTAAAACCAGCTGGGATAAAAGAACAAAACACATGAGCACCATGGGAATGCTGATGCATGTCCGCAGGCACCAGCCCCTTGCGCTTGCTCCTTCTCAGCCTGGCACCTGTGGGAGCATGCCCAAAGGGACGTCTTCCTCTCGCTCCAAAGCCCCTGTCCCCCCAAAGCAGAGGCAGGCTACCCTGGAACAGTGGGGGAAAAGGGTGACAGGGGGGGTGCAGATAGAAAGGGGGGTGCATTGCAAGGACAAGTGAGATCACCCAGAGCACTGGGGAGATGCTTGCTGTGGATGGCCAGCCGTTCTCCTGAGTGGCCAGGGTTCAGGTGGCTTATGGTGCTCATGGCCACATCCTACCAAGTGCCCGAATGAACCACCTTCAGCAGGACGGTGGTGCCTTCCGTGTATGAGGCATGCAGGGAGAACTTGAGGGAGGAGCTGCACAGGGCAGGTCCGCAGGTGGCCTTACACGTCACCTTAGACTTCTGGAGAAGTTAGGGTGGAGATCACACCTTCATCTCCTTCAAGCTGAGGTGCTGAATGATTCCCACACAGCAACAGAGATCATGGGGGCCATGAACCATTTGGTGTAGAGGTGGCTCATTGGGCACAGATAGCTTACCCATGGGTTCATAGTCACTGACAATGGGGCCAATATGGTCAATGTGATCCCTAATGCCAACTTTGTTGGCATCTACTGTGTGGTATGCAAATTCCACCTCATTGTCAGAGACGCCTTGGAGGGGGACAGGGCTGCTAGTGATGGCACCAGCACCACCAGCAAGCTCATTTCCAAATGCAGGAAGGTGGCATGTCCCTGGAGCATCAAGGGGGGCAAGATGCTGCAGGACAAACAAGCAGAGCTGAACATCGGTTAGATGAACACCTTGCTGGGGTCGTTTGATCCCAGTACTCTTTCCTGCCATGGCAGGGGGTAGGACTAGATGATCTTCTCAGGTCCCTTCCGACCCTAGAAACTATGAAACTATCCCACAGCACAAAATCAGTGGAACTACACATACCTGATGCTCGAGAGGCTGGTGGAGCAACAGAAGGCCATCCATGAAATGGTCTTGCTCAGGGAAATTGGATCAGCGGCCCCCTTAACAGAGCTGAGTGGGATATCATTTCCCCAGATCTTGGTGGTCCTCAAGCCCTTCCTCGAGAAACAGTTTCGGTGAAACAGTTTTGACAAAACAGTTTCAACGAAACAAAATGGAACAGCAGTTTCAACATTAAACAAAACTCAAAACAAAACACTGTCCCATTGAAACGGAAGTCAAAATGGAACAGTGCTGTTTCTCGCAGCCGTATCACCCAGCTCTTCTTGTTACTGCCAGAATCTTCCTGGTTTTACCATACACCGATCTCCTAAAACAAACTTGTAGCTCCAGAACTGGTCTTAGAGCTTATAATACCACCCCACGCCCCCCCTCAACACACACACACACGCCAAAAAAAACAATGGACAACAAACATCTTAATTACATTTCCTTTTTCTCATTTTTCATTAAAAGTCACGTTTGGATTCATAGTTTCATAGATTAAGGGTCGGAAGGGACCTAGTAGATCATCTAGCCCGACCCCCCGCCAGGGCGGGAGAACAACAGAAACCCCAAAACAAGAAACAGGACTCAAATGAGTTCAGCCAGGTAGGCATCCAGCCTCTTCTTAAAGACCCCCAGGGTAGGGGCCAGCACCACTTCCCTTGGAAGTTGGTTCCAGCTCCTAGCCACCCTAACTGTGAAGCAGTTCTTGCGGATGTCCAATCTATACCTCCTCTCCATTAACTTGTGCCCATTACTCCTTGTTATGCCAGCGGGCGCTAGGGGAAACAGCGTCTCCCCCAAACCCTTCTGGTCCCCCCTAGTGAGTCTATAGACGGTCACCAGGTCCCCCCTCAGCCTTCTCTTGTTGAGGCTGAATAGGTTCAGGTCCCGCAGTCTCTCACTGTAGGGTCTGCCCTGTTTAAAATATTTCAGACTCTTCTTTTTCTTTATTCCATGATTTCCGTTTTTTAGTGACAAAATAAAAGGAGAAATTAAAATTGGCTGTGATCTAGTCTACCCAAATAAAACGTGGTATTTTGTGAAAAAATTTAAACAATGACATGTCGTGAAACATTTTTATGTGTTTTTGAATTAGTTCTGATAAGAACCAGAATAAAGAAGCCCACACTCAAAGTCAAACTCAAACATTCCTTTTTGTTACCAATACAGAATATTTTAAAATAGTTCTAAAATAGAGTGGTTGTTGTGGATTGTATGAATTTTATTTAAAGATTCAAAAAATGATTTAAAATTCTGTATAATAGACTTTTTTCATAATCATAAGTCCTGATCATACTTAGCCCTCAATTTTCTGGCTTTTTAATAAGTATTTATAAACTGTTTAAAATAACAGCAATAACAACAATAATAACAGAATTTTTAGGTGTTCATATATATGTTTATGTTTAGCTATTTACTTAAGGAGCAGACCAGACAAACTTCCCAAATACACAGAAGTGCCGAATAGAAAGGAGACACCTTTACCAAAAAAGTTTGACTGGAGGGACGAGAATGTTGTCACAGAAGTGAAAAATCAAAACACGGTATGCTCTGGATTTTCATTACTTCCTTCCTTGGCTTGTTTATTCAGTATTTTATGCACGCTATAGAGCAATGGTTTTCAACCTTTTTTCATTTGCGGACCTCTAAACATTTTTGAATGGAGGTGCAGAACCCTCCGATTGCAAGTGTGGGTGTTCACATAGTTATGATTGATCATAGTCACTTTTTGTGGACCCCTTAGGCATAGTCTGCAGACCCCCTAGAGCAACAGTTTGATTCATTTTAATTTAATCAAAAATATCAGAACAAAACATGTAGATATTTCTAAATCCAAAATGTTGAGAACTTTCTGTTCCATCCTAACTGGTATGTTGACTCCTGTTTCAGTTTGGAGTGGAATTTCTGATCCGTTTTATTATGAACTTTGCATTTTACTTAGCCAGGAACTGTTATTTTCCAACAGTGGCTGAGATACAACAGCAAAGTCTTCCAAAATAAAAACAAAACTGAGGAAGAATGTCTTGCATTCAAAAGCTTGTCTAACTTTATCCCACTTACATATTTGGTCCAGGAAAAGATATCGCCCTAAGAATGCCTTCCTTCTAAAATAAAAAACACACTTTTCATTAGTACATCTGGAAAAAAATAGAGATAATACAATAAGTCTATATATAATCATTAAGTATTAATTTGACAGAACTCAAATAGCTAGATGTTAGAGAAAAACAGAGATTCTAGAATATATAATAGGGTTCTAATTTTATTAGCGTATAGGCAACAGACATTCCTGTTAAATGTATGATCGAAATCAGTTACCTTATATAACCTGAATATTCCATGAGTGCTAATTTTAACTCATAGTCATATAAGGAAAGTAATTTTATCTGTGTACACTAAAATTCTGTAAAATTCTGTATTACCTATATAATGGCCAGTTAAAACATCTTCAAGATTTGTCATCATATATATAACATATACATGTCCCATTTTTAAACCTCAGGTCTTTACTAAAACTATTTACATCCTTAAATTTAAATACGCAAGTATTTTGCATTTTTCCAAAGGCTGTAGGAGAGGTATATTGTAATTTATTTGCATTGTCTAAATGGCATGAAAAGGAAGCAAAGGCTGCTCGTGGAGACTTTCCTGCAGATTCTCTCAGCAAGGTGCTGTTTCTTGTGGCTGAAGACCCAAATTCAGCATCTACTTTTTAGAGATCCCACTATAATGTTTCGGGATTAGGGAGTGACATATTGATGGCAGAGCAGAAGAGTTGCCAGAGTGCAGCTGCCTCTATCTTATTGCCATATGATCGCATTCTTTGGTTTAGTACAGATAGTCGAAAAGCCCAAGGCTTAATCAGTTCAGTCTGCAAAGCTTAATCTAAGCCAGGGCTGGGCAAAATGTGGCCCATGGGCCGGATGCGGCCTGCCAGGCTATTCTATCCAGCCCGCGGGGCCCCTAAAAAATTTAGAAAATTAATATTTATCTGCCCCTGTCTGTCGTGCCTCAATGGCTTACCAAAACTCAGTAAGTAGCCCTCCGCCCGAAATAATTGCCTGCCCTGGTCTAAGCTGTGTAGATTGAACCAATAAGCAAGTGAACAGACAGACATTCATTTTCAATTCTGGAAATGCAGCCACATACCTGAAGTGGCCCAGGGCGGAAGCTGGTGGGTGCTAGAACATGCCTTTTGGAGCAGACAGCATGGGCCAAGGCTAGCCCACCCACTTGCAAGGGGTGGGGGGGAGTTGCAGGGGAGGTGCAAAGCATCCTGGAATACCAGGGGACTGTGAGTTAACTTGAATCTGGAGGGGATCTGGGCAGAAGTTCAATAAACCTATTTAACCTCAATCAGTTAAGTCTGATACTGCATCCATCCAGGTTTATTTTAAACTGGTTTCAGTGATTTTGAAAGTAGCTTATGTGCACTGAACTTCTGTTTTGTTACAGATTTGAACCAGTTTCCAATCACGTATACTGGTTTGTGTGTAATTTCTGTCTGTAGCCTTTAGGGCAAGGGTGGCCAACCTTCAGCAATAGTGCTACAAATAAAATGCAGCAGATCAGGGAGGTGACAGACAGCATGGCAGTAGATAGGGCAGGAAGCAGAAAGCAGAGGAGATCAGGCAGGGAGCACAGAGCAAGGAGCAGAAAACAGAGGAGCAACTCAGGTGGAAGCAGGGGATCAGAGTGGTATTCAGGGGAGGTACAGGGCTAATTTGTGGCATGCCCCTCACTGCCCTAGGGAATAATATCCAGCTGAAGAACTCTCTGGGCATCTCTAACAAGCATCCAAGGCCAGAAACAGAACGCTTGTTGTCTTCCCCTGTGTACTGCATCCTAGTGTAACTTGAACATAGCAGAGAATATGGCTCAGGAATATTGGCTCTTCTTTGGCTCTGCTATGCATAACATAATTGGCCCTATGTCCCATGTCCCCCTGC